AATTTGTGATTGATATAAAATAGAAGAGAAGTAGAAAATGAGAACGCGTTTGGATTGACTCATTCGCCTCATGACAAGGCAATTCCAACATAAATCCACAAAGAGCTATTTATCCTATCTTTATGCCGCGAAGAAAGAGAGGGTGGAAGTGATGGGCGGGGGAGGAGAAGGAGGAGGAGGGGCGGAGAGAGAGAGAGGGGGGGGGGGGGGGGGGGGAGGGGAGGGGGGAGAGGGAGAAAGGTCGGAAGAACGGAAACGAATTTTCAATTACCACGTACAAAAGGGCGGGTAATTCCCGATTTAAAATGTCTTCGCCGCACGTGCACACCGCGGAGCAGCGCGGCGAGTCAGCCTGAAAAGATTTCCAAATTAAATTTCGGGATTAGTACCCGAGTTTAATGCGGACAAGTGATAGCAAAAGACGTCCCAAGGGTGTGCTACGCGCTACCTTGATCCTCCTACCACTCCTATGGGACCATCATACGCACAGCCTCGCTGTGTAACGACTGACGGCTACGTGCCGTTTCTCCCTCGCGCTCGCAACACTTCACGCGTTTCCATTTGCTGGATGTAAACTCGCTCCCTCTCTTTCATTCCGCTCCTTTCTCTCTTACCTCGTCTGATCTTCGTTCATGCAAAAAGCCCGGTATGTCGGGTGCCGCTGTTAAGCACAGTGAAAAACGCGATACGCGGATTTGCAGCGAAATCGCAATCCCGCTCCGTTTTCGGGACATCTCTGCGTCATCTGGCGAATAATTGATTGCGTCATTAGCTGTGGACGCGTGGTGGCTGGAAAATTGCGGGGTTCGATAAATAAAATGCATTAAAATGCACGTCGCTTTAAGGTCAAGGCTCCAAGTCCCGCGTTAATCACTCACTCTTCAGTAAGTACAGACTTCTTTTTTTCCCTTTTGACACTTAAAATGTATTGAAGCGCCGAAGGACATGCGCAGCCTTCCCAATTATTTCGCCTCTGAATAAAAAGTATAATCATGAGCGCGGCGCGCAGCGTCACGGATTAGAATATCAATTATCCGGAAGACCAGGGTGGGAGCTCTCCGAGATTTCAAAACGAGAGCGATCCGACGCTGGCCAAGCTTAAAGCCTTAACAGCTACTAAAGCGAAAACATGCTTCTGTCTTGCTCTTTAGCACGGGAAACGAACCGCGTTAGACGAAGGGGTGTTTTGAGAGCCGCCATTGGCCATCCACGCTCCTTATCGCCGGTTGCCTGGTAACCGGTCTGCCACCAACACACGCAAACCCACCCCGACGGAAAACCACCCCGCAGCCGCTGACGCACACTATCGCATGTAGACGAGCGTAACTCACCGCGTCGCGCATTACTGGCGGCAACCCTCTCCGCAGATCTTCCCGCGCGTACACGCACATTCCCTTCACTACTCGCCCCGATCATCGCCAATGTGTATCACGGGATAGGGCGCGCGTAGCGTGAATATATGTATATTTAACAAGAAAGCTACCATTGTTTTAAAGATGTACTGGCTATAGAATATTAGCTAAAAATTGTCGGAATTTGAAAACAATGCTTTTTTCAAACAATACTGGAAACAGCATAATAGTGAAGCAATTTATGAAATTTTTGTTAATATTTTAAGATTTGATCAATATAGGTCAATAATGCGCGAGTGCCGATTTCGGATGTGATGTAATATTCATGTAGTTAAAAAATCTCGCATCTTGTTCGAGTTATGCATAGCTAATATATAAATAAAACTGTAAATCTTATTCCGGAATAACGAAAGTAAGTGCGGCTCTTTGAGATTTCAAAATTCTTGAATGTCCAAATTTCTTGATAGTCAATTTTATGAAGCTGGACACTATAGATTAAATAATAAAATTTAGATCGATGATACTAAAATTATAATATCAAAACTATGCACTAATATATATACGCATTAAATTAGTATACAATGCTATTTTAAGAACATAATTTCGTATTAATTACTTGTATTATATTAAAATTGTTACAAAGTGTGGACAGACATCGATATTATTTTTCAGAAGTTCATATTTTTAAGGAAAAATTTTAAAAGGAAGTGGCATTATGTCGAAAATACTGCGATGGAGTTAGATCGAGAGCGAATTAGACAATCTGATTGACGCTTTAAATATTGACGCACTACATGTTACTACCTAATAGCTAACTAGATTTGATTAATCGATTGGGTTACGGGTTCCTACTAACGACTCGTTAGTAACGACGACGCGTTGTTTCCTTGCGCGCACAATATCGATCACTTTGGCATCGTCGAGCACTCACTATTGTAGCCAAAATAACAAGATAAAATATAATATTTGTATATATCTTTTAATTTTTGATTGCTAGCAGCGTTTTTAGACTCAACAAAAGTGCTTATTGTATATTATCGGTCGTTCGACAGAATTTAGTTGTACTATCGATATTTTTAGACATTTGTAAGATGTAAAATGAAAAAGGTTTCTTTATATTGTCACCTTGTAGAACATTATATTCAAAATTATATTTCTATTTTTTAAGCAAAAATTATCTGTTATTTATAGGCAAAAACTTTTTTCTTCTTTATTTCAAAGTAACTTTTATTCAGATAAGAAGATTTATTCAAATAAGTTTTTATTTTAACGAATAAGTATTTCTTACTTATGAATAATATTTCTTTCCGTGGAGTTAAAAATTTATTCAACTATAAAAAAAGTAATTTATAAAATATATTTACTGTAGGCTGGGAGAGAAAAACTGAAATAGCACAAATAAAAACAATTTTTTTAATATTTATTTTTTACTTTTATTTATCTGATACTCGGATACTTTTATTTTTTCAAAAAAATTTCTTTAAAAAAAAATTTTTCAATGCGGATAAAAATATTTATTTTAGTGTGATGTAATGTTTTTGGTTCGAACAAAACGATTGATTCGACACTTTGAAGTAAATAAGCGCACTTAAAAGACTCTAACAAGGGCGCAATGCGGGACAGGGAGCATAAAGAGGCCTCTTTGTAACACTGAAAACAATGCATTACGCAAATTGTAAGCGTCGCCATATTCTGAGCTTGAAATATTTATTTTTTCTTTCTTCACTTCGACGCGCGCCGCTATTTCTCCATTGCTGCACTACATACGAATGCACTCGGTTGCATGTGTGAATAAGCATTCTCAACTGTGATAACTTGTAAAAAAAGCAGTAACATTGTTTATCTATCATACAACAGCAATAACAAGGAACTATAGACCTTTAGTCGTCAATTTGTGAGAATATTTTGCAATGAAGTTCGCTCACATTGAAGACAACTCGTAAATGTCAATAGACACAAGTTTGCGCTGCTGTTTACATTATGCGTTATAAATTGCAATGCGCTTAAAATTTTTCTCGACGAATTGTGCAGCGACAACATAAAAATTTTTTATTACAAGCATTCGTAAAGAATATAATTACTTTTTACAAAATTTATGTTGTTTACTCTTTCTTGCGGCAATTATTCTGTACATCTTTACGTTCGCATTACATAACGACGAGAAACGGGTGTATTGCACAACAATAACATTTACGTAAAAATGGCGGAGCGAGAAAAGCCGCCAACCAGTCTCCTATATAGTAACAGTGACGTCAGCAAACGTTTCAGACTCCAATTAGTTGAGGGACACGCATAATTGGAATTAAGCTCTTAATTACTAGTTAATTAGCCATCGGCAGCACCAGCGGGAACAGTAGTAACGAGAGTTACCCTTAGGGAAGAGCTTCATTGTGCGCACAGACAGTGTTCCGGGCTGCTTTTCGCGCTCGTAATTCGACATTAATTTACAATTGATAATTATTTTCGGCCGAATTCTATTCACGACGCGCGTACAAATCAGCTCATACAATATTACCACGTCATCCAATTTGCTGCGCTGGAAAAATTGCCTTTTTACACGATAATTGAATCAAAAAATTTTACAAATCACATAATTGCAACGCGTAAGTCTTTTTTATCGAATGCGCACGCGGCAGATAATGATAAACTGATATAATTAATTAATTTCTTCAAGTCCGCGAATATCTTGTGAGATTAGATATTTAACTTTTGAATGGAGATAAACTATTTATAAATACGTTACTTATATAAATACGTTATCAATGCTTTTGTATAATCTGCAGAAGTTGCGATTTATACGTATAAAAATATCTTTAATATCTTAATATTTATAATATCTTAATAATTATTATAATATAAATATTAGTAAAAAATTTCTTAATGTTTTAAATATTTTTTAACATTTTTAACATTTAATAATATTTCTATTATTTGAAGAGAAAAGAATGTAGGAAAATATTGACCAAATATGTGCGAATATTCTTCATAAAGATCTTTATGAGAATATTAAAAATATATATTATTTATTAAAATAAATTATTTTATAGAGAGAGAAAGATCAAAATTTATCGTTTTTTTTAATATAAAAAATAATATAAGTGTAATGCTATATATAAATGAATTAATTTAAAAATAATATATATTAACCCGACGCGACATTTTTATCTCTAAGCAAAAAATGAATTGATAAAAAAGCAATCACGGAACTTCAAAGCCTGTTCATTTCTGGGCACGTTAGCCAGAGAGTCGAATTCATTGCCAAGTCTGGTATAATAGGTAATTTGATACGTGATGCATGCGCGCGCGGTTTCAACACACAAAGCTGTATAATTATCAATTAGATAATACTATCAAATAATGAGCCGCGAATTTAGTGAAATATTAATCTCGCCACGCTCCGACTTTTGTAACATTCTGATTTTTGAAAACATTAATTCTGTTAATTCGGCGCGCTTGTATTTCATAATTATATTTCTATTTTTTATCTTTTTTTATTAAAAAATAAAATCGCGATGTATAATAATGATACATAATAATGATAAACATACATGAAAACACCTTTTCTGAACTTTTATTTAACCGAACTTTTATTTTCTTATAGGTATATAACGATAGGAAATGCTCATACCTGTTTTTCTATTATTACAGGTGTTGGACACAATATAGAATCGGGGAAGGACTTCACGGTAGACGGACTCTCAGGTTTTAGCAAAAAGAAGAAAAAGAAACGCCGTCATAGGTGAGTTTCTCACAGAAATGATAATTTTTTGTAAAGCCACGTCATTTTTTTATACGCTAATCAATTATTTAATACTTTTATTACGGAAATGTCTGTGCTCATCAATAGCAACTCAAATTTGACAAATATCTTAGTCAAGATATAAAAATCTCGTTGTTTCTTAAAATTATTAATCGCATCAATAATTGTTAATTTATACAAAATCTCAGCTTCAATTAACAGTCGAAACGTAAAAAGAAATACAAAACTTTTTACGCTCCTTTATTATGTTCATTTATATTCTTCAATAAATGCCATTTAGCTTGAGCGACTATCGACATGAAATCAATGTTTGAATACGATCACAAATTCTGCAAGAGATAAATGTCGATACTTCAAATGAATAGAAAACTTAATTGCACTTTTAGGATCTGTAATTAATTATATTTTCAAAGAGATTGCAAATTACTTATGACTATAAAATATGAATCTAGTAATTATATAATTTTATGATTTTGTGTGCAAATCTTTAATTTAACAATACAAAATAAAATCATTTTTAATATTATCTGCAAAAACGCCGCCAATAAGATATTCTGGTATTTCTTTATATCCTATATCTTTTTGTGTTTAACAATCGGAGTTATTTTAATATTAAAGAAATAAATTCAGAAATAATATGTTTTATAAACAAATTTTTTTATTTTATGCAAATAATATTAAATATTATTTAACCGCAATAATCAAGAAAGCGTTATTTGTGACAGCATTTACAAACTTTGAACTGGCATTCACGTTGACACATTTTGCAGTTCGATGCGATCACCGTTCAAAGATCTGAAATGAATCCTGTAGAATTTGAAACGATTACATGGCAGTCTTTAAACGAGCGTACAAAACCGAGACAAAATTGTCGACAATTTTCGCGTGTCTGCGCTTAATGAGCTGATGATCGTCCGGGAAATGACTTTCAATTTCGAAGCTTTCGTCCTACAAAGGCAGATGCCAGCTTGATCCCTGCACAACCTACAATTTGTTGAATCACAAGACTAATTGGACATCTTGCCGTCAAATTCGCCTTTCCAGTTTCTGTCGTATCACGCGCATAAGCGTCTGCTGGTTAGATGGTAGACACTCGTCTACCATCGATGATCGTTCAACTTCGTTGCGATGGTTATGCATCTTGCTTATGAAAAAAAAAAGAAACGAAATAATTATCGGTTACTGACGTTCGTCTTGTATCTGCATCGTGTCTACATTGACGAAATGTGTGCCCGTTCGCGATTAATTAAGAGCTAATGGTGGGAACATGCTTGCGACCAGTTAAGAAGAAAATACAGCTAGCGATTGTTGTTGCAGACTCGTGTTAACGAGAATGAGAATAGCATTATTAAGGATATATGTGTCACATTATATAACAAGTCATATTGTTAACAAAATTGTATAGAATTTATTATTTATAAATATCTGCGCGAAATTAGAGCGCAATTCTTTAATGCTTCTTTTTAAACGATTGTTCTTACAACTCTCTAAAGCGACTGTTGTCTAAGTATTAACACATTCTTTTATTATTAAATATTTATAGTGTTTATAAATACTATTATAAATATGTATAATATTTTTATTATAATATATAACGCTTGCCAATATTTGAGAAATTCGAGAAAAAAATCATAATCGCTTGTAATTCGATGGCTTGAATTGTGCAAAATTTTACATATACATTTTGATATAAAATATTACGTGACTTTTACGTAGTCGAGTAATCGATAAGGATTGATACTTCTGATTAATTTCTTTAGTAAATACGGAATGTGTTAATTTTGATAGAATCTTCCGGGTGCGCCCGGGCGTGCGAGAAAAAAGGGAGAAAATAAGATAGATTTAAGATAGAAGTTGTAATGGCATATAACTAGGTTCATATGGTTGTTGCTCCAGGACGATCTTCACGTCACAGCAGCTGGAGGCGCTGGAGGCAGCCTTCAAAGAAGCCCATTATCCTGACGTCTATGCCCGCGAGATGCTAAGTCTGAGAACCGATCTACCCGAAGACAGGATACAGGTGAGCGAAAATTAGAACATTTATCTCCGCGTATGACTTTCGACGGTTATATTTAATAAGATAAAGTAGCGAGCAAACACTCTTATCATTAGACAAATCAAGGGTAAGAAGAAGCTATTAAAAATTATCTTATTGTTCAAATTGTCATCTGTAGAAACAGATGGAATATGTCCCGATTAATTTGTATGGTGTATAAATCAACAGTAGGTTCAAAGAAGATTAACAATATTCTCTGATATAAAGAAACTGTCATTTTATTCGCGCGCGCGCGAGTATGTGTGTGAGTGGAAGGAGGTAGTTCCGGTCAACACAATTTGCAAGTTCTGTGTATATTGATTTCCCGAGCACGGTTCTCTTCACGATTTTACGAATATTTTCGGGATTATCGACGCGATGGTCGCGGGCTTAGCGGAAATGGTATCGCAATAACCGGCGATTCATCGTCGAGAGCGGAGTGTGGTACTGCTAAAAGGCACGATTGTAAAAGAGAGAATTTTCCAAAGCTGACGGTTAGTTATCGCAGAGCCGCAAGAGCAGTAGGCTGAGATCGGTTTCCGCATGGCAAACCCGGAACAAGATCTCTCTTTTTCACTCCTTTTTTGGTGTCCTCTCTTTATGACCCCTTTTTCTTTGCTACACTTCTCGTTCCCTGCCCTCCTTTCCCTGCCTTTCTTCGCCGACGTTCAACGTTTTCTCATTCATTTCTCTCCGTACGCTGCCAAGCAACAACGGCGTTTAACGCAGATGTATAAAAGATACATGAGACACTGGTGCTCTTCATTCAGCCATTGTACGGTGCAACTTCGGCGAGCGAGTGGCAACATAAGTGAGAGTCATTGCGAGTTTTCCGCCCGAAATTCATGCCATGACAAAGCAGAAGGTACGGCTGAGGTAAGCCGCCTTTCTTCAATATTGTTGTGCAATGAACGCGATGCAAATTCACCATTAAATCTACATAAGAAGAATTACATACGATTCTATTTCACAAATAGATAAAATGAGAGAAAGTAGTTATTAATGTATTTTATTATTGTACACTAATTTTTTGTTATAATTTTTTAATTAGCATATTTTTGTTGTTTTACACAGTTTTGTTTTGTTCCCATCTTTCTTCCACTCCAATGAGAAGAGGAGGAAAAGCGGAACGGAAGATTTTTCGTAAGCATCACACCAAAACGACGTGGTCGCGTGCGTGTCACGTGTATTAGCTTAGCTCGTGCATATCGTATGTCAAAAAAAAAGAAAAAAAAAGAAAACCCAAGTAGATTTAGTTAAAAGACAGAAGGAGCGAGTTTCTTTGCGTCATTTGTACGCTTCCATTGCTGCTAACTTATCACGTCTGTCGATTCGCATCGCAAACCAGAAAAAGAAAAGAGGGAGTGCACGGGCAGAGAAAATGGCTTGCAGGCCGCGACGCGGACATCTCTGTACATAAATGAATGAGTATTTCCCGCATACAGCCACGCGTACGTGTAGAAACGCGTGCATACACGCATGGCGACCTATACGCAGCAGCCGGTGATTATATTTTGATATAATTCGAGATACGAGGGCGGCCGCCACCACCACTGCGAATGGCGGGGGGTGGTTGGTGAGCCAAGTAGGAGGGCGGGAAGAGGCTGGGAGGGAGGGTTGGAGACTCGTGACGGTAACGGGGTTGTCGAGGCTGCCTGAAGCTGAAGCGTACAGGCGCGTACACACAGAGTATGCCGTAGAACGACAAAGCGGCCATTACAGGGTGGGTGCGGTCCCACGGGCCAATCAGAGAGAGGTGCCGGGGACCAGTTGGCCAATCAGAACGCGCCTTCCACCCGTCTTTTGTTTCTAAATTTGCGCGCGGGACGGGGACACAATATAACGAGGCGCGAGATGGAAAGAAGAGCTGATAATCGTTAACGGGGATATTTTCGCGTGGGGAGGCGTCTCTTTTTTCCCCCCTCCCTCTATCCCTTTCCACCCCCATTTTTCGCTTCTCTCTCTGTCTCTCTCACTTGCTAACACCATCTTAGTCCTTTTGCCTCGCTTTTTACTCTCGAGCCTGTCTTTGTCTTCTTTTGGCTGAATACACGAGTTACTTAAATGCCGTGGCGTCTTCGTACATAATCTGATTTTTATGTTCTATGCATTTTCATATTTTGTACACCTGTTAAAAGACTGTTAATTAATTTAAAAACCGTAAAACTTTATTTTTCTATTATATTTCGTTCCTTTTGTACATATTATTTTATACTTCGAAATAAGATTAATCTTTCTTTTTTATATTGATTAGTTAAAGAAATGATGTAATTTGTATATTATCTTTGAATAAGTAACATAATGAAAAACATTACATCTAATAGCTTAAACTTTTTTCTGTGTATGCTATTATCATTTACTATGTTCGTTATTTTATCAAATACATTTGATTAATTTGCACTTTTTAATTTTTTTGTAAAACACAAAGTATTGTTGCATTTTTAATTTTATTTTTACACACACTATTTATTTTTAAATACTTGAAAGTTTCTAAAAATTTGGTTAAAGACTTCACTGACATAATTAGCTTAAACAATTTTGGAAAAAAGCTTTTTAATATTAGTAAATTAGAACTGTTGATGTTATTCATTTGTAAGCAATTATTTAACTAATTAAAAAAAAATTGGCGTTGGTAAGATTATAGAAATAAAAATTATTAGAATTATCTAAGAAATAAGACTTTTAATGTTAATAAAATATATAAAGAAATAAAAATACTAATGCTTTAATTAATCATAAAATATTTTACACTTGCCAATGCAAGTAGAAAACTGAAGATTGACAGAATTGATGTTTTTTACATTTATTACATTTCGAAAATTTTTGATATAACGATCATAAGGTATAAATGCAAAAGAATATTTTTGCTGACGAAATTGCTACATTTGCTCGATAATATGACAGCAGATTATTTGTCAGTTTAAATGGCATCGAAGCGTTATTACTCGATGAAATTAATGGTTATGGATACATTGACCTAGTGTCTGGACAGATTAATTAATTATGCTTATTGAACTTTAGAAATTGCTAGTCATTGCTATTTAGGTAGTCCATGCACGTAGATATATCTAATTGGATAGAGATCGTTTAAATAAATATTAACTATCTATAAATTTCTCGCGCAAAGTGGAAATTATAATAATTTTACTAAATATTAAAAATAAAAATTTAATTTACTTTATTACGTAGTAAGATAAAAACGCAATTTATTTAAATAACAATAGAATTTATTTACTTCAGTATTGTCGCTATTCACAGACTAACTGCATGTTAGTTGGACTATAAATTTTATAATTTATTAAGTTGAACATGTGAATGAAATCGTTATTATTTTATACGAGCCTGTTAATATTGCTGGTATATGTTTAACATAAATACACAAATATTTCAGCAAAAGAAATAATTATATAAATTAAATGTATTTAATTATGTGTAAACTTTTCTTTCTCAGAACGAGTATTCTGATTTCTCACGTTTTCTGTATTACACGACGTATAAAATTATAAATAAAAATTATGCGTTCTAAAATTCACACTTATATAATAGCATTTGTATGATTGATATGAAAAGGACTGTGTCATTTACATTGAGTATTAAATTTACTCAATGTAACTGCAGTAGAGTGTAATTTTGCATTGTTGTCAATTTTTACAAAGCATGTTTTTCACTGATCAGCACTTCTATTACTATAAATACAATAGAGTTAATAGCTTTGTTACCATTTTTATCAATACTATATTCACGCTGAAATTACAATGAAAGAAGAAGCAGTCGATAGCCTCCTGTAGCGAAGTTAATCGAAATGTCTTCGTCAGACTGCTCGTCTTTTTACAATCGGCGAAAACTTTATGCACAAAATACCATACAACAAAAGGGATTTGTAGTAATTTTAAGATTCATAGTGTGACATTTACGTATTTAAGATTGTAATTTTAAGAATTATAGTGTGATATTTACGTAATTAAGATTGCAATTTTAATTCAAAAGTTTACTAATAGATGTGCAGCTATAATTTCCTTAAGATATCTATAATCTAAAATTACTGATTTCCTTTGGGAACACAATATTTGCATGAAATCTATTTTAATTAACAGTGCAGTGATCGGATAAACTAGGAAAAATGTTGTAAAAATAAACTGCTGTTTTTCACATAATGCTCGAGCAACAAACAGCTAAAGAAATATGTATTTGAGTTCTGCGATAGAGTTGATAATTTTTTTTTATTCTAATTTCACATTGTGGCGCATTGGTATATTATATTATTACAAAAGAACCTTAACCGCTCGGAAGTTTTACCGCACAATCGATTTCTCTGTAAATGACATGAGGGAGGCGACTCATTATAGCGATCGTGTTCGCAACTTGGCTGTGTTTGATTGGCGGGTAGAATTGTGCACAAACGGATGTAATTTCAGCGATCGGAGGGTTATGGTTTCTCTTATGGGAAACGTGCAAAAATTCTACCCTGTCTCTTTGCCGACTCTTTCGCCGCGATCAATATACACAAAAAGCGTTCTGCGTTACGTAATAAAAGTAAATATATTAAAAAAATAAGTATTAACTTATTATGCGATTAAAGCTACGCAAATGTTGAGGGAGAACAAGTCGACCAATATTTTGCTTTGTACATCTCAATGCTATTTTGCATTCCGCTGTCTCTCGTAAGCAGAGATTGATATTTTTGCAAGAACGATCTATCGTTATGATTTCTCATTGGTCTGCCGTGCGAATTAACAAGATTGTAAGCGAGATTGTTGAAAAAAAGGCGCGAGATGCGTAAGATTGCATTAGCGCGTTTCGCCGCGAGCAGCCCATTAGCAAGGAATTTTGACGCGATTCACACAATCGCGTCACGCGTTCACTTGGCCGCAGAAAGCAGAAGGATGGAAAAGCGTCTTCGTGCCGAGTTAAGAAAAAAAAAAATCTACTTCAAGTAGCAGCGAGCGGGCTTGTGATATCGCAAGTCATCCACGGTGCTCTCGAGG